TGCCCAGGTGGGTCTCGAACCCGTGGGCTCAGGCAATCCACTCACCTCAGCCTCCCAAAGGCGCGGGATTACAGGCTGAGCCACCGAGCCCGGCACAAACCAGCAGTTTTACTAGATAAGATCAGCCTGTAAGCAGGTTTAGAGATTTTTTTTTTTTTTGAGTTGGTGTCTTACTCTGTCTGAAGTGCAGTGGCACACTCACAGCCACCCCAGCGTTGACCTGCTGGGCTCAGGCGATCCTTCTGCCTCAGCCTTCCAAGTAGCTGGAACTACAGGCATGCGCTACCACACCCGGTTAATTTTTTGATATATTGTGGAGATGAGGTCTCCTAAATTGCCCAGGCTGTTCCTGAACCTGTGGGCTCAATCCCCTCACCTCAGCCTCCCAAAGTGCTGGGATTACAAGTTTAAGCCACCATGCCCGGCCAACAGGTTTAGAGATCTTAAACAAAGGAAGGGAGGAGGGAGGGGCATAACATCCCAAGAGAGGTTCAATGTGGTGAGAGAGGAAAATGTGCACCTTTAAATCCAAGTAGCCTTACTGTTTAGCTTGATCAATCATTGTAGAATAAAGAAAGCAAACTAGTTTTATTATTCTATTAAGAACTACTCTTTTCATAAACAAGCAACCCTTGGTTTCAGCCTGTAACATAACAAGACAGTGTCCAATCTCCTGTCATGGCCAGAAATTCAGTGTTTTTCGGGCTTCTCTGGGGTCCCCTCGGCCATGAGGGGCTCTGTTCAGTCAGTTGTGGGACTTAGGATTTTATTTTTAGTTTAGACATCGTTATATGCACACCACATTGTGTTTATTCATTCACTGGTCAGTGGACTTTGGGTTGTTTCCACCTCTTGGGCATTGTAAATACTGCTGCTGTGAAAATGAGTTCTTTTCATTTTTTAAAAGAAATGGAAAAAAGCATTTTATGGCAAAATCCATGATCTGCACAGCATGGAGAAGTGGAAAGATCCTGACTTACAAGTTGGGCGCCATCTGCTGGAGCCCCAGTTTTCCCACACCTGGGGTCCACCAGCTCCTTTCTGCCCTCACCCTTCACCTTTCTGGAGACCTCTCCAGACTCTAGGTCTCCTGAACCCAAGGTCCATCCCACTCCTCATCTCACACGTCCTATTAAGGTTCCCTCCCTCTCCCTGGTTCCACTCTCCCAAGCCCCGGCACAGGGCTTCTGGGGGTGGGAGGACAGCCTCTCGGGCTGGTGTCTTGGTCTTGGATTTTGAAAGCCAGATGTGGGAAGGAGACAGCTAGATGTAACAAAATGAGCTTTAGGGCCAACTCTCCAAATAGTGGGGGAAAGATACCTACCCAGTCCTGCTCCAAGGGCAAGTCTGAACAGTGGTGTCTGTTGGCTGTTTTACCAGGCGTCACCCAAGATAATCTCGAAATCTCAGTTGAACCAGAAAATGGTCTAGGCTCCTGGTCCTCCTGGAGCCACAGGAATGCTAATCTCTCTCAGCTGAGCCCTGGGTTGCTGATTTCTTCATTTTGAACATTCTAGACATTCCTGTTTGGTTTACACTCACTGTCCGTTCCCACCTTCCCACCACACCCAAGGCCCCCTTACTTGGCCATCTCTGGCCCTTTTCATTCTTCAGGGCTTAATTTAAACTGCTCTGCCTTTCTACAGAGTTTGCTGGCCTTCCCCTCATCTCCACCCCAGACAGAAGTCATTGCCTCCCCGACCCTGTGCCCTCACAAACACCCTTGCAGTAAATCTTTGCACTGCAGTAATTCACCTTTGCTCCCACCAGCCTTTGTGGTCCTTGGAGGTGGGATCTGGGGCCCACTCCCTTTCATGGAGTGGCTGCTTAATAAAGATTGATGGATGGATGTGTGGGTGGGTAGGAATAAAGAGAAAATAAGAGAAAGGACGGTCACTAGTACTGAGACTTCAGAAGATGCATGCCAATGCAGTCTTGTCATTTACTTCTCAGATAAAGTCATGATATTTTGGCAGTGCTCCTCCAAAATAGAATTGTTTTTAGCAAAGAAGACTATCCAGCCAATCCATTCATTTAATTACTTTGGTATGGGACAGTTGACCGGTCTCTAGCAAACCAATGGTTTTCCAAATGATACTGGCACAGAGCAGGGCAATGTGACTTAAAAGCCTGCCCAGTGTGAGGTGCACGTGGACCTAGCAGGCTTCTGAGATCCTGATCCTGGCCCTGAATGAATTCACATCCCTGCTTTGGGGCAGGACAGTCCTGAGTTCTGGGGAGGTTTGAGGCTGGAAGGCACAGAAAGCTGAGCAGACCTTGAGTTTCCATGTGAATCAATTGCCCCTGCTGAGGAATACATCCAGGTCTATTTTTTCTAAACTTTTTAGTGCTTCCTGGCACCAGCCCTGCAGGCATCAGTCAAGGGCTGGGGAGGCTAGGCACAAACAGATTGGATGATGCCATCTGTGTGTGGCTTTGCATGGGGGGTCCCGGTATATTTCCTCTCCGATGCTGCTCAGCTTGATTAGTAGTGACCGTTTGGATGTTATATTGAGAGGGATTCTGAGGCCTCAATGAGGTTTCGCAGAAGGAGCGTGGAGATTAATTGGTCATGTCCAGGGAAGAGTAAGGCCCAGGAGCCGCAGGAGCTGCCACCCCTGGTTTTATTACTGACCAAGCATAAGCTTTGGAATGTGGATGGTTGAGATTGAATTCCACTCTGCTCTCTGCTGTACTTCAGTTTGTTCACCTTTGAAATAGATGTGTGTACATCAGGGTATGGGTTCAGCTGCTGTAACAAAAAGTTTCAAAGTACAGCGGCCTAAAACAAATTAGAAGCTTCACTCTTTCTCACATTAAAGGGCCCCAAGGTAGGTGAGCAGCTCTGAGCTGGTGGGCACCCCTTCCTCTCTCAACATGTAGCTTCTGCTCATGGGCGCAAGGTGGCTACTCTAATTTCTTGCCATTTCCCAGGCAGATGGAAAGGGAACTGGACCAGGGGAGCATGTGTCTAGATAGAAAGGTATGTTCGCATCACTTTTCATTTCCCATTGAGGCAGAAGAGTCACTTGGCCACACTGTGACTTGGCTGGGAAATGTGGTTTTGAGCTGGGAACCCACGTACCCAGCAAACCCTCTCTTGAACTGAGAGGAAGTGGTGGCATGAGATGTCCCCGGTGGCACAGGGCACCTCCCAGGATGTTTAGAAGAACTGGTGATGACCCATGCCCGCCTCTGGCACCTAGTGGGCCTTCCCCCAGCTCACACAATACTCCCTTTCCCTGCCCAGGAGCTGGTGAAGATCCTGCACAAGGCTCTGGAGGCTGCCCAGCAGGAGAAGAGGGCATCCAGTGCGTACCTGGCAGCAGCAGAGGACAAGGACCGGCTGGAGCTGGTGCGGCACAAAGTGCGGCAGATCATGGAGCTGGGCCAGCGGGTGGAGGCCCTGGAGCAGGAGCGGGAGGGCCTGGTGCACGCGGTGAGCCTGCGGGAGCAGCAGGTGCAGGAGCTCCAGCAGCACGTGCAGCTGCTCATGGACAAGAACCAGGCCAAGCAGCAGGTCATCTGCAAGCTCTCGGAGAAGGTCACCCAGGACTTCACGCATCCCCACGACCAGCCCCCTGCACCCCCCAATGCTGCCGACAGGGACTTCCTGAGCCAGCAGGAGAGGATAGAGAACCTGAAGGTAGGGGCCTTCCCTCTAGGGCCTGTGACCCTCTCCCTGGGCCCTGGGCAGGGCGTGCTCGTGACCCTGAGGGCTTTCCAGATGGAGCAGGGTTGACCCTTTATATTGAAATATTCACATGGGAAATACAAAGGGGACCCCCCCAAATAAACCAGAATTATCTTTTGGAGGGTGGGGCCCTTTTAGTACAGGCTTCCTCTGCTAGGTAAGTGTTCGAGGAACCTATCGGCATCAGTATACTAGCTAGCTTTGTTATGAGAGGCTGTGCTTGGCTTCAGTGAATTTTTTTTGGAGATTCTTTCAATGCATTTGCCCATTTCATGGTGATTGATTTATGAGCACAACCTGTCCACACCATCTGAATGTTCAGCAGTTTTTGACAAAAAACACCATGACCCTCATGACCCACCCTCCCTATTCACCCAGTCTCGCCCAAAGTGACTTTTTTTGTTTCCCTGGATGAAAAAAGTCCTCAAAGGGAAATGTTTTGCTGATGTGGAAGAGGTGAAACAAAAGATGGCAGAAGCACTAAAAGGCATCAAAATTGATGAGTTCAAAAACTGTCTTGAGCAGTGGGAAAAGGTCCTCAATAGGTGTATTGTAGCAAGTGGAGAGTACTTTGAAGGTGACTGGAGTTTAAACATGTAAGAATAAATACATAATTTTAGATTAGCTGGGCTTGGTGTCATATAGTTACAGCTAATTGGAAGGCTGAGGCGGAAGAATCACTGGAGCCCAGCAGGTCAAGGCTGTGGTGGCCAGGAGTGTGTCACTACACTCCAGCCTGGGCGACAGAGTGAGACTCCGACTCAAAAGAAAGAAAAAGAAATACATAATTTTTTAATAAGTTTCAGGTTTTTGGGGGTCCCCCTTGTAGATGGAAATGTTGCTCTATGCTTCCTCGCTTTCCTCACCAGAAGGCCAGTACATTTGACCTTTTCCTGATGTCCTGGGCTGCCGAAAAGTGAAGGTGTCTCTAGATTATCAAATGAGAGATGAAAGAGCCAAGACCATCTGGGTCTGGGGCCTGGCCCAGTCAGCCTCTTTTAATGCCACCCTGGTGCCCCTGGGAGCCCCAAGGTGAAGGTGGCCTCCCCCGGCAATTCTGCACAGCATAGGGGACCTGCGACTGGCTGTGGCTTGCTCATGGTATAGCAACCATCGCCGCTCCCATTTACAGAATGTATGGAATGTTTACTGCATGCCTGGCATCATCCTCGGTGCCCTACTCACATCACATTTATTTCTTGCACTAGCCCTGAGAATGCTGAGGCTGAGAGGGGCTAAGGAGGTGCCCAGGGTCGTGTGCTAAAGAAGTAGGGGAGCTAGAAGTGGGTTGGAGCTCACGTCTGCTGACTCTGCTGCCTCTTCTGGCGACTGCCACCATCCCTGCCCACCTTTCCTTCTCCTTTTCTCCCTGTCTCTCCCCAGGTTGTCCCACCTCCTGAGGAACAGTGGTGCCCCAGGGAGCCGGAACTTATTATCCCCATTGTATTTGAGCTGTGTTGCTTGCCGTGGGCTGCAGTCTCCTCTCTAGAGAGTTGTGACGGGAGCCATCCCACCGAGAGAGGGCGCACACATGGCCCCCACTGTCCCTCAAGGAAGCCATGTAAACCAAGACAGGTCCTGCTCCAAACCTTGCCACTCAGTCACACATGTATAGTCGTGCCGCATCACAACATTCCAGTCAACAACAGTGGTCCATGAAATTATAATAGCGTTGAAAAATTCCTATGGCCTAGTGACATTGTAGCCTTTGTAACATCTTGGCACGACTCATTACCTTTCCTATGTTTAGACACACTGTGTTGCATTTCCCTTTCATATTCAGTACAGTAACATGTTGTATAGGTTTATAACCTCGGAGCGATAGGCTCTACCGTCTAGCCTAGGTGTGTAGTAGACACCTAGTGTGTAAGTTCACTCTAGGATGTTCGCACAACACCAGGATCACCTGATAATGCAGTTCTCAGACCCTTGAGCAACACATGACTATACACAGGTACCTGCAACCTCACGCAGGTCATTCCATGCTACTGTATCAAGAACCTGCCAGGTGAGGGAGGTGGAAAAAGAAAAGAAAAAATACATCAGGAGGCTTTTAAAAGAAACTCTCCTTGGGCAGTATTGCACAGTGGCCACGGCCCAGGCTTTGGAGTCAGTCAGACCTGTGTTTAAATCCTGGCTCTGCCTCCCACTAGCTGTATGTCCTTAGGCAAATGATCTCTCCTCTGTTTAAGATGGGCCAACCAGTCCTACCTCAAAGAGCTGTTAGATACAGGAAGAGGATGTGAACCCAGATTCCTTTTCCTTTCTTAAAGCAAAGCCTGAAAAACCACATAACCTGTCCTTGAGTCTTTTCCCTTATTTAGTCTGAAATCAGAGATTATTTTGGATTAAAGCAAAGCAAAATCTTTCAAATGCAGTTGCATTGTGATTGTCAGAAAGCCATCAGTCCTCCACACTGCAGTTAAAATTGCTTCTATCGCTTTCCTACCCTGCCCTACCCCTGGCTAAGTGTCTTTCTCTTCACCTTCTGGAATCCTCTGTTCAAGCCCCAATAAAAGGCACAGAGGGCAGAAAACAGATCAGCTGGATGGCTCCAGACTGCTGGGTCTTGACTGTAATCATGGACTCACCTAAGAGACGGACTGTGTCCCTGAATTTACATGTTCTGGAATTTACTTTATCAACAAGACCAAATATGAGGAGACTCTGGGTATGTGATTCACATTAACCACATTTGCAGTTGATCCTCAGAGGCCCAGTGTTTTATGCTTCAGAGAGTTGCATGTACCTAGAGTTTCTTCTTCTTTAGGTCTTAGAATACGCTTCAAATATCCATTGTTTTTAATTTGGGGGCAGAGAGTGTTCACGTGTCCTGCTTGCCCTGTGATTGAGGACTCCCAGCTGTAGGGAAATGCCCGCTTGTTACTGAGACTGACCAGGCAGGCCCCAGCAGTGTCCTGTGAGAATAGGATCACTGAGCTCTTGAATATCAGAGCTGGAAAGACTCATAAATCTCGTCTGCCCCCTCATTTTCTGGCAGGGAGAGCCGAGCCAGGCGAGGGGAAGGACTGGTCAGGCAGCACGAGCAGGCATCACAACTGGGCCCCCCACGTCCAGGGCCCTTCCACACTTGAGCACAGGGCCTAGTCCATGGGCATGTCCCAGAGAAAATTCCCAGATTCCTGATCCCTGCAAAGGCAGGCAGGCTCTCTTCTTCCCTGGTCTTCATTCTCCAGTGTTTTCCTCCTTTCGCTCTTATGGTGACTGTCATGTGATTTTTCTCTTTCTGAGGTTTCTCTTTTTCCTCCTACAGTTCTGAGCCAAGAAGAGCACTCAAGGTAGGGCACCAAGCTGCCCACTGTGCCTCCCAGATGCCATCCCCCCACCATGGCTGCCCTGGGGCTGGAAGCCTTAGAAATACCTGTGAGTGGCTGGACATGGTGGCTCACGCATGTCATCCCAGCACTTTGGAAGGCCAAGGCAGGAGGATCAGTTGAGGCCAGGAGTTCAAGACCAGCCTGAGTAGCATAGCGAGACTCTGCCTCTACGAAGAATTTAAAAATTAGCTAGGTGTAGTGGTGCACACCTGCAATTCCAGCTACTTGGGAGCTTGAGGCAGGAGGATCTCTTGAGCCCAGGAAGTGGAGGCTGCATTGAGCTATGATGGCACCGCTGCACTCCAGCCTGGGTGACAGCCTGATTCTAAAAAGAAAAAAAAAGCAAAAACAATGAAATACCTGTGAGCAACTGCTAGGCCTGGGATGAGGAAGGGGTGGCATCAAGGAGCAGGCCCCAGCGGTGCTGTCGAGTGGGCCCCAGCACTGGAGTTGGGCCTGCTCTCACTCAACGGTGTTTACTGAGCACCTGCTACAGTTGAAACACCTGGACTTGGTTCTGGCTGTCTCTGACCCAGGCTCTCTCTTCTGGGGCTGTGGGTAACTTACCTTCTCTGTGCTTGTTTCCTCATTGTCAAATGGGAATTCTAGTACTTGAATACTTATCCCACAACATTATGGCAAAGATTAAACAGAACAATGGGGGGGGGCACACAGTAGGACCTCAGGTCATGGCAGTTCCTTTCCTCCCATGCCTGGGGGCTTGTCGAGTAGTACCCCCTCAGCTGCTCAAGGGGAAGCAGGCTGGGAACAGGAGCTCTGGAGTTGCTGGAGAACTCAGTGAGGGAGAAGACACTCACATCACCTTGCCTCGTGCCAGCTGCCTTTCTGAGCCTTTCACACATATTCACTAACTGAATTCTCCAGCAACTCCATGTGCTGTTATTATCCCCATTTTCCAGATGAGAGGACAAGGTACAGAAAGCATAAGTAACCTGTCCAGGGGCCCAGTGTGAAGACAGGACTGACGGCCAGGCCGTGTGCCCACAGCATCTGTGCCCCGATCACCAGGCGGCACCAGTACACGGGCACTGCTGGCATCGTCCATGTGTTAGGATGCCGCCTGCGGGTAGAAGTCACAGAGCCTGCGTGCCTGCAGCCAGGAGACCGAAGGATAGCTAAGAAGGGCAGAGACTAGAGCAGGGATGTCTAGGCGGATTCCAGCTGTGGGGGAGCTGAGGCAGTGTCTGGCAGGGGCGCAGTAGTTTCCAGGCATTAGGGTCAGATAGCCCAGCTCCACACTCTGCCTTATACTGGCTGTGGGGCTTGGAAAAGTGACTTACCCCTTCAGAGCCTCTGACCTTAGTTGTGGGATTGGGAGTAATGAAGGAGCATTCCTTCTAGGGCTGCTGGGAGGATGAGACAAGAGGGTGTGCTCAGCGTGGGGTGGTGATGGGGTAATGCAGGGGATCTACACAGCCTCTCCGATGTAGATGTTTTCGACATCTCCAGATGCTGAAATGTAAGACTCATGGGAGCAAGGAGTGGCCTAGAAAGCCCTGATGCTCACAGAAAGTCGGTCCTGGTACCACAAACAGGAAGATTCTCACCAGTCCCACCGTCCCTGCTATATAAGGATAGGAAATGGAGGTCACGGAGGGGAGACAGGTGGAAGCTTGCCCAGAGTGCAGCTAGCATACACAGGTGCATTTCCCAAAGGCATCCTGGCTCTTGATCTGGGTCAGAGATAGGGCTGGAGAGGAAGAGGAAGACAGGCCAGGGGGTGGGAACTGCCTGGGTCCCACCAGAGGACGGCAGAGAGCAGACTCCATGGCAGCACAGCCTTCAGCCCAGGCCCAGCATGGGAGAGGGAAGAGCAGGTGGCCAGCCAGGGACACCACCGAGAGCCCTGGTGCAGTGGTGAGAGGCCGCGTGGTGAAGGCTGCCTGGGCCGTTCACTTTCAGCTGTGGGAGCCCTGAGAAGAGGCCCCAGCGTGTCGGTGTCTGGGCCGAGGGCAGCAGACCCTGAGCATGTGCCAGAGCTTTGGGGCTGGGAGGACCTTGGAGACCACCTTGGCCAAAGTGAATGCCCGCCCAGAGAGGGCCGGGACAGCCTGTGGCCTGGGTGCATATGACCCGTCCCCTGGGGATGAAGCACCCCGGGTTACGTGTGGTATTCTTCACTTCCAGATAAATAGGGCCTGTCTGGGTCACCCCTACTGCAGCATCTCTCGCACTCACCTCCAGCCCAGTGCAGTCCCTGAGAGGGAGAGAGGGGAGTTGAGTTTCAGTCAGTAAATCCCCTGGAATTGTCAGGCCTAGCTGTGAGCATGTGTTATGCGACTCAGTGGCTTCTGCGGTGTCCATCCCAGCAGAATAAAGACTGAGGGCCACTGCCGTAGCTGATCCTTCTCTGAGGCTCAGGTCCCTGCTTGAACCTTCCCAGCACTTGTCTGTTTCTTCTTGTATACCCCAGCAACAGGAAGTTCACTCCCTCCACTGGGCAACTTGCAAAGGGAAAATGCAGAGATGTTCACTGCGGCATTATTCATAATGAAAAACCAACTGCAAACACCCAGGGCTCAAATTTTTTTAAAAAAGGAAAAGGTTTATAAGTAAATTATAGTAAATTCACCAAATAGAATCATCATCAGACATTAGAAATGATTATTGGGAAGCTTATGTAGCAACATAGAAATGTATTTACAAAGTAACACTGAGTAAAAAAAAAAATTTATATAGTATAATTGTAAATAGACAATAAAATGTGTTGATTTTTAAAACAAAGAACACTTGAGCACTTGTTATGTTTTGGTCCCTGTACTTAGTGTTATCACACTTATCTCAGTTTAGTCTCCCAGTTGCCCAGTGGGGTAGTTGGTAATTGTCCCTTTTATGGATGAGGAAACAGAGGGTCAGAGTGGGTCAGTAACCTGCCTGAGGCCTCCAAGCCAGGACATCAAAGCCAGGGCTTGAACTCAGGGCTATCACTCTCTCCACCACATCATGCTGACATCAAGAATAGACAAAGGGGCTATGGGTAATTTTTTTTTCTTTCATTCTTGCTTTTCAGTTACCATTCTTGGGAATTTCTAAAGAAAGGAAGCTTTGGCAGCTTGTTTGAGGGTTTTACTTCCCAGGACCGGGGAGATGTTTATGGTCCAACTCATAAAATGCTTTGCTCTCTTCTCCAGGATGACATGGAAGCTTACCGGACTCAGAACTGCTTCCTCAACTCCGAGATCCACCAGGTCACAAAGATCTGGAGAAAGGTGGCCGAGAAGGAGAAGGCTCTCTTGACGAAGGTATGAGCGGGAGCCCTGTTCTGCCATCTCCATTCCTGGCCACTCTTCTGATCCTCACACTGCCCACCCCCACTTCACCCTCATTACCTGTCTGCTCTCCCTCTGGACTGACCCCTTACAAGCAGGGCCAGTGTCAGCGTCTTCTCCCAGGCCCCTGTGGTCTGGCCGACCGAATCACCTGTTCAGCAGTGCCCATTGGGCAGCTATGGTGCAGGACTATGGAGACCAGAGAGCCCAGTGCCTGCCCCCATGGAGGGCACAGACTAGTGAGGGAGTTGAACACAATCAAGATGCAGTTGGAGGCCGGATGTGGTGGCTCATGCCTGTAGTCCCAGCTACTCAGGAGGCTGTGGTGGGAGATTGCCTGAGCCCAGGAGTTTGAGGCTACAGTGAGCCATGATTCTGCTACTACATTCCCTCCAGCCTGGACAATAGAGTGAGACCCTGACTTTAAAAAAAAAAAAAAGATGCAACTGAGCTCATGGGGCCCAAAGGAAAGAGAGTCAGGGAGGACTTCCTGGAGGAGGTGAGTTCATGTTATCCAGGAAAACAGTGGAGAAAAACCTTCCAGGCAAAGAGCCAGTCCAGCTTGAATAAATAGAAACGCGAAGTTCAAGGCAAGGGGCGTTCCAGGGAAGTGTCCCAGCAAGGGAAGAGGGTACATGCAGGCCATCAAGTGGGAGGGACGTGGTATGCGAAAGGAGCAGAAAGAGTCACGGGCAGAAGAGGGCACAGAACAGTGCCTCCCAGGTACCCTGTGGCCAGAGCACCAGCAGAGAGCTCGCCCCGTGCCAAGCACTGGCAAGGGTTTTACACACCGGCCCGTCTGATTCTCCCCAGAATCCTGCCATGCGCTAGGCCACCCAGGTAGCAGTGATGAAGTCAGGATGGCAATGTAGGCCGCATAAAAGCCTGTACTGTCCCTACACATCCCTCATCTTTTTCTTCTGAGCCAGCTTCGACCTGGGTTGGGACTCTAGCTTGCCTGGCTGCATTCTGGGCCCACCTCTCCCAGAGGAGGAGGTCCACGAGTCGGGAGGGGGCAGACGAGAGCTAGAAGGCCTGTGCTGCTCGGGCCTCTAGGGAGGCCCAGGCTCATCCAGGTGGCCTGACCAGCCCCGCCCTTCTTGCAGTGTGCCTACCTCCAAGCCAGGAACTGCCAGGTGGAAAGCAAGTACCTGGCGGGGCTGCGGAGGCTGCAGGAGGCCGTGGGGGATGAGGCCAGCGAGTGCACGGAGCTGCTGAAGCAGCTGGTCCAGGAGGCGCTGCAGTGGGAGGCGGGTGAGGCCACCGACAGCGTGGAGCTGAGCCCCATCAGGTGAGCCCAGTGGCAGGCCCGGCCTGCGTGACCCCGGGACCCCGCCCCACGGTCCTCTGACAGGGGACCGCGTGTGAGCCCAGCGCCTGTTCTGCCTCTGGGTCAGACCCGGGAGCACATGGCTGCAGCCGGGGCAGCGCAGGCTTAGCGGAGCAGCCCCCTCACTGTGGCCGTAGAGTGCCCTGTGGATGCTTCCGCCAGAGGCCTTTTCACTTCTCCTGGCCACCTCCCAGGAGCATTTGTCAGACAGGGAAGGAGGGGAGATGAGTTGGCCATCTCCTCTGCACGACGCCCTCCTGAACACACTGGACGAGGGCACTTAGAGCAGAAAGGCATGTGGCTGTACTGGAAGGCCCGTGGAGGCTGGTGCCAAGTGGCAGGAGCCCCGGCCTTAGAGCTCTGGTGCCAGTGGCAGGAGCCCCGGCCTTAGACCTCTCGCCGTGTGACCTTGAACAGGTCCCTTTACCTCTCTGAGCCGCATACTCAGCCTCTTTGACGTGGGCTAAGCCCCCTGCTCTGCAGGGTCATCAGGATTGAGTGAGATAGCACATGTGGGGCATGTGGTGGGCAGGGAAAGGCCGAGTAGATGCAGGGCCATCCGGAGTGGGTCCCCAGCTCACCCTGCACCTGTCGTTGGTCTGCCTGTTTCCCATCCATCCCTGGGCTTACCTGCCGTGGAGAGTGGGGTTCTGGACTCCCTGGGCCTGAGGCCGCATGGGTAGCAAGGGGGTCCTTGATGTTGGCGGAATGAGTGAGGAAATGTCTCTTGAGCACTTATATGTACGAGGCTCTGCCTAGGCCCTAGCAGCTCACGGCAGAGGATCCTGCTGGGTCTTCAAGGGGTAGAGCAGGGGTTCCTCTACCCAGTATAGAGATGGGCAAACTGAGCTTGGGAGAACTGGAGGGGCCTGCCCAGAGCTGCACGGCTGACCCTCAGTGAGGGCAGGGGAGGGCGGGAGCCTGGCCCAGGCCACCCCCTCCCCACCCCTTCCCTTTGCCCAGGGAAGGGCTCACACGTGGACTTTGCCGGCAGCGAGTATGATGAATACGGCTTCCTGACGGTGCCCGACTACGAGGTGGAAGACCTGAAGCTGCTGGCCAAGATCCAGGCGCTGGAGGTGCGCTCC